AGCAAGGCTGTTTCTTTTCTTTTGCCTCAAGAACGTGGAATATACTGGGTGGAGAACTATTTTGGTTTTGCTTCTTTTGCCAAAGGCTTATAATAATAATGGATGAAATGAAAACAGCAGCATTAGTAGAAATAAGTTTAAAAGCTAAATCATAATTTGTCAATATTACTTTTTTGGAATGTTTTTATTACCTCCTGTGACATCTACAGTGTATAAGAGCAGTGTACAGTGTGTCATATAGTGAGTTCAGGGTACTTTATAGTATGGCTTTCAATAAATAATACAGATCCATCTTAGCAGTCAGTGACTCATCAGGTTTTTGCACTTCCCCTTGCAAGTATCAAAGGATCAACCCTACAGTAACAAAAGGGAACGGGGCATGGAAATGATGCTCCAAAAAAGGTTCTGAGAAGGTAGACTACAGGACCCAGATCTGTGCTGCTCCCAAAGCACGTTCCCACCAGTCAGGGTCCCTGCAATGCATGCAGCTCGCTCTGAGATGAGCACAGTGCCACGGCAAACTTCCCTAAGGTTTAAGAGGAAACCCAGCATTCACACCATTTCACACAATATGCATCTATGCAATTTCATGAGGGAATGGAGGCCCCGGAACAGACTTCAAGGTGAGCTCCAAAAACACTGTACCACCAGGCAAGAGCTAGGCAGTGTCAGCTTTTCCACAACCCATCAGGTATCTCAGAATCAGTAACTACAGTACAGCTGCTAGGCCTGACTGTGTGAAGTCCCTCTAAGTCTTACCTGAGCAAAAGGAGCCTAAACTCTTCAAGACAATGGACTTATAGATTAACATTGTTAATTTGAACAATACCTGACAATGCAAACTGCAGGCAGTGCAGTATACAATTAGTTCATATATAGTTAAATATATGCAAGGCAAATCCTGTCCTGTAAAATTCCGTATAAAACACCCCTCGGGAGCTAGAATAAACTATCTACCTCATTTCCATTTGGAACTTAATTTTGTTTTAAGCCTTCAAAAAATGAGAAGTTCACAGAGAAAGGCAATAAATAAGACTAACCTCAATGACAAAAAAAAAAAAAAATAAAAAAAAGAAAGAAAAAGAAGTGTGCTATCCTTTCAAATCATAAGAAAGAGTATTTAAGAGAGATCTATTTCCAGCTTTAATTTCAGAGAAAAGGTTTGATATGACATTACTCCTCAGTCTTTCCTTGCACATATTTCATAATGTTAAGCCTGGACTCCAGCCTTATAGACTGGAGCAAATGTTAAGCATGCTGTTACTCTGTAGGATTTGATCTTTCACGGCCTAGTAGAAAAGATCTTTTCCTCCTCTTTGTCTTAGGTCTGTTTATCTTTTCTCAGGCAGCTTCTGCAAACATGAAATTGCAATGGCCAAAGAAGTGCCAGTGTCAGACGGTGTTTACTTTTCATTAGGCAACTAATCAGTCTATGGATTAGTTACAAACCGTAGATCTATCATTCCAGAAACCTGCATCTTCAGGAAGGTGTTTTTGTTTTTGTTTAATTTAATTATATATGTATATTATTTTTTGTTTGTTTGTTTTTAATTATAAAGATTAAACAAGCTCAAGTTTTCTTCATTCACTGAAATAATTTGGCAAAGTGGTAGCCACCTGCCTTTTCATGTAATCGTAGAAATGTAACCATTACATTTTGTTCAGTGTAAGAAAATATCCTGCACACTTGTTGTACTCTTGAAGACACAGCGCATTTGGCCAATGGGTCACAGCGAAACATATTCAAGATGAGAAAAAACAAACAGGGAAGAACAGGCTTTGGTCATACACACAAACTGCTGCATTGGATCAGAACTCTGACTATTCTGACTTTCATCTCCCATAGTAGTTGGTACCATTTGCTTCCAAGACAAGCAGAAAACATTCTTGCTGAACAGCTACAGAATAACAAACCCTAAAATTAAACTTTCCTCCTGATCTGTCATTGCCAAAGGTTAGTTTTATATACAACTGTATGTAATTCCTTCCAAACACTATTTCTTCTTGTACTGCACTATAAATATTTTGAAATCTATGATTTATTTCTGAAACTGTCAGTTAAATTTCTGTGAAAACTTTGACTCCTCAGTACACATTTTTCTTGAAATTCCAAATGGAATATTTTAGTAAGCAAATCAAAAATTTGAAGTCAGCATAATGGAAATTGTTTATGGCAAGATACCCTCAGTGTTTCTTTCTGCATGATGTGCTAATACATCCGAACAGCATGTATCTGAGTGTCCTAATTTCCATTTCAACCATTGCCCATCACGACATTAAGCAAAGCAATTCATTCACTAAGACGAAGAGACTACTCATAATTAGCATGCAAGAATCACTGTGTTTCTAGAATGCTGGGAGCATGCATTTAGTCCTAGGAAAAGATTAATATTTTTATTTTAGTAAATAGACAATTTTCTATGAAAACATGACATTAAACAACTCACTAAAATCCCCAGGTCCATTTTTTCAACTGCTACTCCTCCATTACAACCACCAGAGCAAACCTGTTGGTTTTAACTCTACTCTTTCATCTCCAGTTATAATTCCACTGCCTTCAGTGGGTACTCTAGACAGGGATCTGTCCTGTCGCTTGCACTAGATGTGCTAGGCTTCATTTTTTCTCAGATATATGTAAAGGCAAAATTCCATCACAGAGCATGCTACTATTGCATTACACGGAACTACATGCTTGCTTCTTTCAAGCAGATTCCTGACCTAAAAGTTGTACCAACAGGTACGTTACAGAAGATTTGGGGCTAAATCACATAGCAGGCAGGTGATTTGGTAGTGAAGAAAGTGAGAAGTAGAAATCATTAGAAGCAGAAAGTGTATAATATTCACTGCAGAATGGAACTGAACCACAAGACCTCAAAGGCAAACAACCCTGCTCCAGATCCTCACCGTGGGCCTGATTAAAATGAGACCTGCAGGTAACCTACCACTTAAAACTGTTGAAAACTACAGAAATGTATTCACAGGCATACATTCCTTGTTGCACAATATGCTGGGAACTTTTCATTTTTGCAAATTGTATTTCAAATCGTTACCATTTTGAAGTTATTGTGCTTAATTCCTGATGGATTTTCCTTCTTTCAGAAGGAAGGCTGAACAAACTGAAATAGTTGAGAGACATTAAGGGCACAGGGTGACTCACTGCGGTGTCAGACTGCTTAGCCACAGCCATTTTGAAGCTCAGGAGCTTCAGCTCTTAGCGATAGGAATCTGAGAGCTACTTGACTTTCCTTTCAACATAAACAAACGGAATAAAATAGAACATGCTTAGTTCTACTCTTGTGAAATAACCTATTCTATCTTTAAAGATCTGTTACTATTGAGTGCCTTGTTTCTTTCTGTTCGCACGCTGTGGCTTTTTTTTTGTTTGGGTTATTTTTGTTTTGTTCATTTTTGCATCAGATTTGGCTTCCCCTCCCCTTCCCCCCCCAGTACTGCTGAACTGCTATACATGTATGTGTCCTCAGTCCTGACATTCCAGCCTTGATTCTACCTAATCCAACACCTCATATTTGCCAAACTCTGTTTATGCTAAAATGGAGCTGTAAGGGAAGAGTCTAGAGAAGTGGGGAACACACGTAGAAACCCACCAGAAAGAAAAAAGCACCAGTGACAGGTAACCCAGTCTATACTTTTACAACAGTATATGGAGAGGCAGTAAGCTCCCATTAACTGCAGAGGAGCACACTCCATTCCCCTTTCTCTCCTCTAACCATTCTTAGGGATACAAAATACTTTTATCACCTACTACCTTTATCTTTATCACTTAATCTTCAACATTCACATACCCTACCGAGTCTCTTAAACACTTTCTTCATACAAAAACTCCTCCTCACTATTGTATTCCTCACGACATGTCTGCACAAACTTTCTGCTGCATCTTGTGTTTTTGCCCTTATTTGTTTCCCTATACTTGAGAACAAAGCATCTTGTAGGATGTACCGTACACATATGGACAGTTTATAGCTGGCCTGCCAGAAAGCTTCTAATCTTCTAATCTAAGTGGTTTGGGATGCTATAGTAAAAACAAAACAACAAGAAAAACAAAGCCAACAAATACTCACACAACTCACCCAGAATATTTTCCTATTTACTGCCTTTTTTTTTTTTCCTTGTCTTCAGTGGACTTGTTCTGCCTGGTATTCAGAAAATCCACATACTCTGCTGTGAACTCTGATTGCTGCAATAGCAAAAATACTATGTATAGCATATTCTTTAGCCAGCTAGGAGATCTTGAGAACTTACAACTTTAAAAAGGAAGCAGAGGGATCCCAAATAGTGCTTTTGCTTTGTTATATTAAACACATTGCTTTTCTCAACAAATCCAGAAAATTATTTTAATGGTTAACCTGGAGGGTTTTTTTTAATTTTTTTTTTTTTTATTACTTTTGCTGAAAATTAATAGTCTCCAGATTTTACTAACAAAAAATGGAGACACAAAGGTTTTTGAAAGCTAGTTTTATCTGATAGCTAAATAATATCATCCAAAGTGGAACAGAACATATAAATTGTTTCAATCTCTCACAATGCCCAACCTGCTAATATCATTGACCTCAAGGAAGTACAACATGCTCTAAAAATTAGGCTTTTAGCAAAAGAGGAATTTAGCCTTTCAGAAGATTAATTAGATTTCAGGGGAAAATAAATTGATAGTGATGACCTCCTCTTCCAAAAATGTAGAGGTTTTACTTTACAAATGACCATACATTGGCAAAAAAGCATGAAGAAACTTCTATCAATAAATTATGGCCCCACAGAAGCACTAAATTCTATAAATTCTAAAGAAAAATACGGTCCCCAGGGTGAGAGAAATGTTTATGCTGCAGAAGAATTACATGTCTGGTAGGGTAGCATTTCCTTATCAGGACGAGACATTGCTAAATTGATGCTTTACTCTCCTCTGGTATGTTTATCCCCTCCCATATCACCTCCTCCCTGGTGTGGCCTTTCAGAAACTATAAAGATATTTCAGATTTTATGACATCCAAAACTGATGTTATTTAAACACAACTGTTCTATGTAACTATGCCTTCAAAGTAATTCTAAGGATTCTTCTTTATGAGAAGAACTGATGCTCATCAGATTAATATTTTGTAGAGGAACCTTTCAAGTGAAGTGGATTTTTATGGCTGAAATTAGCACAAATTAATGGGAATACTCAAGCTCCCTGAAAGTGGTTGTGGAACAGCCCCTAGTGCAGAATAAGAAGGCTTGATTGCATTAACCAAGTATTCCCACTTAGACTTGTTTTGCTCTGCCTATTTTAGGACTTAAATATTTTTATATCAACCTAAAAATAAACATTGCTTGGTTTCTATAATAGAAACAATATAACCCAAATAATAAAAAAAATGGATTAAAATGAATGACTGGCATATCAACACTTGCACAGTTGGTTTTTCTTTTCTAAGTTCCAACTTATCTGCTGGAGAAGAGTATCAACTTACCCTTTTATACAAGATTACTTGGAGCAATGGAAACCATACCAGGTAGGATGAAATGAAACAACCGTTTAGTAGATCTTTCACGCCTTGAGTTTGCACTTATGGAGAATGATAGATGCTTGTTGTACTTGTAAACATTTATGTGCTGCAGGGTAAACAGCTGGGATTTCATTTTGATTCTCCTTCGCTTACTATATAAGCATCACTGGTTGTATTTCCATACGCTATTGTGAGCAAGGGCACTAGGATCGGTCTCCAGTTTCGCTGAAGTGCCGTGCTTTGCTTGCATAAATACTGCTGTTTTGACCCACTCTTTTCCTTCAGGGCTGCTATAGACATTTAGATTCTACAGCTCTACTGTAGTTCTCTGCTGAAAAACATAATGCTCTGTCATTGTTGCCATAATTTTGTTCTACCAGTTATGATTTTTTTTGGTGGCAGTTTGCAACTGTGAGCATCAGGAGATTGCTGTATATCCAAAACCCTGCAGATAGAAAGACATGACTACCTGAGGGGATGAAGCCCTGGATTTCAAAGGCACCTAGCACAACAAGTAAAGGGAGACTGAGCCTAAAACCATCTCATTTTCTTTGGATCATGCCTGCATGGCTACTTGCATCTCATGGTAATACAGACCACGCTAATATACATGTGTGTGCAAGACCCGTCCTTTGGAAATATTCAAAGTTCCTTCGGCTCCTTAATTTGAGATGAGCTCATCCCAAAACTACTCCATCTGCTTCTTGCTTAGGCAGAAATGAGCCAGAGCACTGACTAATATGCAGCTTAGTTAAGATAGTTCTGAAAAGATGACTGTAATAATCATCAGCACTAATGCCTTGTTCTCTGTTAGCCTGAAGAAGTGGCTACCTGCTGCCAGCCACCACAAGGTGCAGGATGAACTCTCTTAAGCTGTTTCCCCTTATGGAATAATGGAAATGTGGAATTTTTGCACAGATGTCACAGTCCCACCGCATTTACATTATCTGTCCTTTCATGGGTGCCAAATAAACAGAACTTCTGACTCATTTTTACACAATACCTTCCCCAGCTGTTTGTCACGAATCTTTTTCAGATGTATGTTTTCTCTGAAATGATTATTTTCTCCCAAACTCCCATCAGCCTGCCCTTCAGGTCAATGGATCATAACTTTCAGTTTTGTAGAAGCTGTGCCAGTTTTCTCATCCTTAAAAAAAATTCACGGTGCTGTTCATTTTTCTGACCACTTTTACAGACTTTTTTTTTTTTTGAAACACTATGTTTGAACCTGTCCCTTTCACTCCAAGTCTTCCCCCACTCTCGCATCCAATCTTTTGATGAAGCTGCATGAGAGATCTCTACAGATTGTCATTCTAGCAGTATTTACCAATTTCTACATCTACTCTCCCTTTCTCTGTATCTGCCCCCTTTCCTCAGTGCTTTCTGTAACCGAAACACTTAGAGAGAAGCTGTGATGCCTGGTAACCTCTTGTACAATACAAAGTATTTAAGACAGACAATTATTCATTTTCAACTTCTTCAGGGAAGTTAAAGCATATGGTTTATTTTAATCCTCTCTGATGAATTCTCAGAGCAGATCAAAGGGCTTTGCTGAGCAACACAGACATGTACAGAATCTGCAAGTCTACAGGCACCTACACTCATCTATTTTCTGGCTGCTCTCATGCTCATGGCTGCATGGTCCTGCTGCCTCCCAGCTGATAACATGCAAGTCTTTCTTGATGTAGTAAAATATTCAGCTAGCTTATGAGAAACCTCAAAGGAGGGACTTCTTGGAAACAGAGCTGAGGGCAGAAACACAGCAGAGAGCAGACCTAGGTTTAAAAAAAACAAACAAACAAAAAAAACCCTTGCGTTTTACATGCTGTTTGCTGATTGTCAGCTGGAAGTAAACTATCACCTATCCACAACGTGAACAGATCTTGAAGGTGCTCCATTTCCACCTCTGTCTAAAATGCCTTGGTTTAAGTCACTCATGTTTTTTATTTATTAACCTAAGGTGCCCTGTGTCCTATAAATATTGCTCCTATCATTTATAAAGTGTTGCAACAGAGCTCTTTAGAAAGAATGTGAAGCAAGGGTTTTCTGCTGCTTGTGGTATTTGCAGCCTACGTTAACTTGAATGACACCGTTTTTTTCTTAACAGATATCTAAAGAATGCGTGTCTGCATCTCACGCTTCCTCGCTGGAATGTACTACAGCCAGTGGACACAAGAAGCACGTTTTCTCAACCACAGAACATATATTATTGATGGAGCCAAATCCAGGGCTGGATTACTCTCAGCAGTATTTTTTACAGCTTTCCCCCCCGCCCCTTCCTTTCTTCGTTCCTTAAATATCTCACATAACAATCATCCCTCATTTTCTGATGACAATTCCACCTTTTCAATAACTCAAAACTGTGCTTTAAAAGGCTACAGATAGCACTTTGTCATTTGTATGCTTTTGATTTGATCCTGATATCAAATCTTTGAGTATGAGTGCTCACAACACCTCCACAGCACCCGTTTTATACTTTAAGCAATGAGAGAACTCAGAGATTGTAGTTTTTGGCTGACCTTGCAAAGGTCAAAAGTCGATCCCACCCCTCTTTTCTTTTGACAAACTGCATTCCAAGAAGCATAGTGATTCGGTGATATTTCTACGGAAACAATCAAGAAATCATAGATTTTTTTTTTTCATGCACAAAAACATCTAACATCTAATTCCTCTGCTGTTGTCAGAATGCTTGTCATCCCTATGTACAGACACCCATTTTGTCAAAAAAAAAATCCATCTATAAACACACATGGTATAAATATATAAAATGAACTTGATTAATATCAGACATTTACATTTAATTTTGCTGATGCTCTTCCAAATCTTTTTCCCCTCCAGATTTACTCCTAGAACAAACAAGCTTTCATAAGCAGAAACTCCTCTCACATCGCATTGAGATGAAGGAAACACTGAAGCTTCAGTTTCTAAGGGCTGTCTGGAGCTATTTTTCTCCTATCTCTGTCTATTTGGAACTTGCTTTGCATCTTTAGATCAAAAGGCTTGCCTAGATCCAAAGAAAAATCTCTCAGAATTCCCTTCCCAGCAAGGCATAGTGTTGCTGTGCTACCCTTTTCAAAACTGAAGCCGGCTGTGCTGACCACCTGAAGAGCACTTGCAGGTTGATCTCTGTATGGGGAAGCAAGCTTGATTTCAGGAAAAAATGCAGTGGAGAGCGAGTAGCTCACTGCAAACCCTCGTGTGGTGTCCCTCAAGTCATTGCGCTGCCCAGTGTCCCTTGAAAAGCTGAACAGGGTCATAGGCTAGTGTGTGTGGTCAGGACAAAGTGGGTGGCCAAAGACTAGGAACTGGAGTTCACCATAATATTATGTGCATTAAAAGAAGCTTTATGTGGTTTGCTTGTCAAAGGTTAGGCAGCTGTGCTTGCATCCACACCTTCCCTAGTTACTAGTGCTTGTTTTTTCTTTCCCCTTTTTTCCCTCTCAATGAGCTAAGACACTGTCTTACAATATCACTTGTCAGCTCACAGTCTTAGTAGGATGAATTCAAAGATCAGCTGCCAGCAGTTTTACTTCATGCTGGCCCACACCCAATGATTTATTTTCACACCAATCCACAGAAATCTTTCAGCCAAGAACTTCAGGCCCAAACCTGTTGACATGACACCTAACTGAGCTACTTCAAAGGCAATTACACTTGTGTACATGCTTGTGTTTACACGGTGGTTCCTACAAGGAAGTTATGCTGCATGATATCATTCATTGTTCTTCAAAGAATGCGCTGCAGAATGCATATCCTTTGCGCTGAATTTCAATGGGCTGATTAGGAAGTGGTGAGTGATGCATGGCCACTGCAGCAGCCAGTGGCTGGGTAGAATTGCGAGTTGAACGTGAAAGGTCTTGTTTGACACAGGTTGAAGCATCAACCAGCAGCTCTCAGCAGCTCTACATGAATTAAAATAATATACTAAGTATATATAATGAGTTTATATATATATATATATATATATACACACACACATATATATATATATAATATATATATGAGTATACATGTATATAATGAGTAGGTTCTCTCACACACACTGCAGTGAACCAAGGCCATCTGAAAACCAAAGAACATTTCAGTAATAACTGTCCCTCCTTGCTTTCTCCATGCACTTAGAGAGGCATTTTTCAGAAAACAAACAAACAAACAGAAGAATGTTCTTAATTCTCAAATTGAGGATATTTTCCTGACAATACAAGAGTAAGCAGAAAAGAATCAGTAGGAAGTGTAACACACTTACACTTGTTGATGTGAAAGTATACATTCTAACACTTCAAAAACACACAAGTCCATAGTGGTCTAGCATCTCCTTTCGTGTGTCATGACCATCATCTCAGCATTACCTTTATCATGTTACCCCAAGTGTATCCTCACTTACTTCTCTTTTTGGAGCCTTGCACAGTTCTAGTTCCCTATGTTGAAGTTACCCAGGCCAACTCTGTCTCACACTGATGTAGAATCAGGGCAAGAGAAAGGAAGAGCATCAGACAAAACAGCTCAGTCACTTCTAAAAATGATGCAAGGGTAAGAAGTCATACTTTGTTTGAAAACCTTTAGAATCTCCAGGTTGGGAGCAAAGAACTGAAATTTGACAGAACCTGGCCCAACTTTTTTTTTTGTTTGTTTTTGTGTGAAAATCTACCAAAACCTGTCCAATACACAAAAATTTGAAACATGAGAGCTTGCATGCAGTTATTGGGATCTGCCCCATCGTCATTACTCCAGAGACTCCATCTGTCCTGGAACACAGCCAAGGATTCAGCAGGGATCTTCTGCTATGGGAGCTCTGGGTTGCACTGGGCTCTGCAAACTCTGTCTCCTGTATTTTCAGTTATTCATACAAGTGAAGTATTTAGTCATCAAACTGTTATTCCTAATAACAACACTTACAATCCTTATTAAGCTGTGAGTAAGTTTCAACACCTGTGGAAGCAATGTGGTGCTCAGCTTGGCCTCATTGATCTTAATCTGCACAGAAACCTGATGAAGAGAATTCCCATGTGCTTGAAAGCTCCTGTTGCATCAAAACAAGAACTACTGAAAATGTAAGCATAGCCCTGAATGTTTTTGTCCATTACTACTCAGGCAAGTATGGGAAGATTTACTGAGACCATCTGGACTTATTCTGGTTCTTATCAAGCAGCAGAGGGTTTTTGTTTTTTTTTTTTTTTCTTTCCTTCCTTGCAAGTTCTGTTCAAGTGACTCATCCACTAATGTCATTTAGCCACAGCTTTCTGTCTTTGCCAGAATGAGTTTCCATTGAGCAGTACACCAATGGTGAGGGGAAAAAAAAAAGAGCTTAATTACATCTCCAGTTTTATATGCTTCGTGCAAGAAAGTGTTTTAATAAGGGGTATTTCAAAACTCCTTCATTTACTTCTAAACAGTATTTGTTCAGGCTTCAAAGGCCAGAGAGATGACACAGGAAGGGCAGAAGGGGGTCAAGCAAAGTTACTTAAGTTAAGAAAAACTGCATCTTAATTAAAACCTTTTTTTTTTTTTTTTTAAAAAAAAAAATATTTTCTTTTGGTTGGGAAAAGGGAAAATTCATTAGAAAAAGGAATGAATGAAATTTGAGGTTTCATCACCTTGATGAGGTCACACATGATGAGAATCACAGGGAGAAAGGTTTGGGATATAAATGCACAGGAAGGGAAAATGAATTAAAAAAATGTAACCAGAAAATGACCACTTTAGAGTCAGAAGACAGTTGCTCAGTGGAAAATACCAAATGCAGCATTAACAGAAAAATTTTCCTATCCTCATACACACACAGTGTCGATAAGGCTCACCAACTTGTGTCACCAGACTTCACTGACTTTTAAATAACCTATTTTGTGCAAAAATAACAGGAAATAGATTGAAGATGATCCAAAAAATAAAAATTAAGCAATTTATACCGTATCATACATACATACCAGTCCAGAAAATGATAGACTCAAATATGCTAGAAAATCCAATTTCCATAACAAACGCTTACTAACGACTACCTGTAATAGTTATTCATGTCAACTACCATTATGCATAAAATTGGAAAGAAAGGAAAATTTGAAGCAATTAAGAAACTGTTTAGAGACAGCTAAAGAAATCAACCCACTCTTAAAATATATTACCATACGTTGACAGTCTGGTTTGTAACAAAAATGGGTCATTCACATGCAGAGACATAATGTAGCATTCTAAACATACGCATGTGCAAAACACTGATCATTCTCAGTGCCAAAGCAAATGAAAGGCCTTTGAGGGACTGCCTACCAGCCTCCTGAAGGTCAAATTGCTTACGACATGATCTTACTTTTCTTTTGTTCCTAGATTTTGGTCTTACGAATGCTTGCACCATTAACAATATTCTGGATTTTGATTCAGTTTGTGGCAGTTGCTGTTTATGAGAATCAGTTAGCAAATCTTGATATCTTAAATTTTAGTATTCTATTGAGAAAAATCAAGCAGATTTCTTCTGTTCAAGATATGGGTAGATGATGCAGCCCATTACATACCTGACGTATCTAGAAAATGTTTGCACACTACAATGGAAAAATCAAGGTTTACCTTTAACGAGTACATTTAATGCAGTGACGTATTACTGGTGCTCCATACAGTAGATGAATTCTACAGTCCTTCGAAATGTTCCCATTGTCTCCTCCTAACCTTTTTGCAGTTTATCCCTCTCACTTTCTAGCTTGATTTTCTGCTAAATAGTTAATTTGTGACCCTTTACCAATTCAAACTCCCCTGACTGTAGCAGGTAGCTTTTTCAAGTAGGCATAATGCTTATGGAGAATGGCATCCATGCAGAATACTAGCAACATAGACAACGGGTGGTTATTTCTGATATAAGGAGTGAGTGTCTAGGTGAGCTACTTTTTCCTCAAGTTTTCTGTTGTAATTAGAACTGGCCAGTATATCTGACCATGGACTATCTGCAGGGACCACCTGCAGTGCAGAACTTCCTGAAATCAACACCAGAACAAGGAGGCTCCATACATGTGCTAATGCCCCACGGTACTTGGGCTTTATTTCTACACTAATCCCTCAGTACAGCATCACAGCCATGAAGTTAAGATTCCTATTCCAAACTAATCTCTATTTTTAACTTGATTTTCCCATGGAGATATATTTTCACAAAAGAAAAAAACAAAATGCTATATGATTTGTGGCTGCCCTGAAATTGTTTTGGAGAAAATTTGAGATAACTAAGCCAAGATATTTGAGTCAGAAAGTTTGAAAATTAACATCTTTCTGACTGTTCATGAAGTGGCTCATGCACTGGTAGCACTTTAAGAGAAGCCTGCTAGTTAGTTGTTATTTATGAAGACTTACAAATTACTTGTCAATGTTTGTTTACAACCTCTAAAAGTCTACAGTTTTGTTTTTCAGGATGTGTGGCAACACAGTAGGTTTCACTCTACTTCATATGTAAAAATGAGAGCCTTGATCTACCTTAACTTGCGTGCAGGCAGACCCATTTGTTTTGGAGCAAATGGAGGGGAAATGTTGACATGCTCGAGAAAAGCCGTAATTCTGAACAACAGAGTGACAGTCATAGGCTAGAGGAATGGGTTGACTGGGCTGTATCAACAGAAGCATAGCCAGTAGACCAAGAGAAGTAATTATTCACCTTTATGCATCATTTATTAGACTACGTTTAGCCCTTCTCTGACCCTAAAGATAGATGTTGGAATATATTTGTCTGGGAATACTTAATGATATAAATGATAAATACTACATAAATGATAGTGCAAATGATAATCTGTGCTGCATTAGACTTTGCCTGGTCTTGGTTAAAATCCAACCCATCAGCTTCTTTTTCCCCAGGCTGACCTGCACCTTTGGCCCTCTGTCCTCCAGTGACCTAGGGTCCTTGACTATCTCCTGACTTGCTTTCTTCTGTCCATGATACCCATTACTTTGTGCCACTGCCAGAGCTCTGTTCTGGTACTATGCTAGCATGCATGAGAGACATGGATTTCTACCCCAGAAAGTTCAGGTTTTCACTGCAAGTCAAACACAGTAACAGGCCGAATCAGGGAATGAGGAGGTTCTACAGGAATAGCAAAACAATGCTCCTTATTCTGAAAAACCGTAGTCGTAAGGACACAGCATATTTATTACTGAAATATTCAAACAGATGCTCACAGGAAACTGCTTTGTGAAATTTATTCTCACTCCTCCATTTTTATTCTTGGAGACCAAAATCTAAGTGTTAAATATAAAGCAAAGTGAAACAAAAACCCAAACTCCTGGAGAGCTCACTGTTCATCTCCACAAACACTGTGCTACAACTACCACAGAAATTCAAAACAATCCATCTAAATTTACTATTTCTACACACAACACACCATCCTCGGCAATGACGTGGCAAAACAGCCCACTGGGACCACACCAACGCCTCTGCTGGCAGTAGACCTTGGAGAACAATATTGGGGAGAAGTGCTTTGCTGGTGATCAGACTTTTGGGAACTGCAAAGTAGTCTGCACAGTAAGTCACGGTTTGGAGAGAGAAGTTTTTGCAGTTCATGTGACAATAAGTTCTCTTTAAATTAATAGGACCTGAGAGTGCTTACTTACGCTTGAGAGCCTGGAATCCTTACTCAGCCTAGCAGCTGTTCCTAGGAATGACTTGTTATTCTTTATCAGCTGCGTGATCAATCTGCCAGGGTCACAGCACACATTTTTGAATCCAAAAACACTGGCCTAGTACGCCACAGCTGGCTTGAGAAGGCTTCATCTCTTGCTGCAACTGCAGAGAAGGAAAATAGTCCTCAGTTTGGCTGATGCCTATAAAACATTGGTTCCAGATAACTTCCCTTGCTTGGATAAAAATTCACGTTTGGCTTTTATAAAATTTGTTTAGAAATGCACTAAGTTTGTCAGGCAAACTCTCCATGTATATAGCAGCCGAGGCCCCCCTTTGCTGGGACCCAGATGTTATGCAGGTGTGGACATGCTAAAGATGTAATTATAAGTACACAGAATTCATCTTAGGCATTAGCAGAAAATAAAAGCTTCAGCTATCTGTGGAGTGAAAAAATATGGACAGATAATATTGTTTGGTCACCATGGTGGCCTTTGTACAGGACAGGGTGAAATTTCTTGTTTTATCCCAGTTTCCATAACTCATCTTCCTTCCCATTTCTGACTTCTGTCTTCTCTCTCCAAACTGAGCTTTTGCATTTTGGAGAGCTTTTTTATTACACATATTATTGCTGTTCTCTAGAGAGCGAGAGAACTGGGATTAGATTTGACATGCTTAGAGAATCCAAAATTTAAACATGATTTTTAATGACCCATGCATATGTATTCTTTTCAAAAGCGTACAAGTGTTATGTAAAATTATTTATTTATTTATTTTAGTTTGTTTTCCCTGCCTTTGGCTGTTTTGTAAGGAATATCTGTTGGGACTTTTTTGATAATGAACTGCTGCAGAGAGGCTAGAATTTTTCTCTTCTAGAAACTGTTATGCTCAGATAAGTTTTGGAAGGAATTTACAGATAAGATTTATATAACTATGCTATTGATTTTAAAGGTAGGTAAACAAGAAACTAGAAGCTCACTTTGTCTATCTGTGCCAGATGTAGTATTTTATATGCACATACATACAAGAGGAATGTTTTTGACACAGAGGGGTTCCACAAAGAGCTACTGTAAAAGATTTCAATCATTCTGTTCACTTATTGACTCAAAAAGCCAATATCACTACATCTGAACAGCCAGCATAAAGGAAGCTATACTATCATATAAGCAGTGACACAACCTTTTCCATAAAACTGTAATTTAAACCTCAATAAATAATGATAATTTAGGTGCTTCTCTTTTTAAGTTCCTGAGGAGAACCACTGCCAAGTTTCTTGATTCTGAATACAAAATACAGCTGCTTTCATTCCTGGTACTGACTCATCTCTCAGTAGTTCCCAAGGGGATGAGCTCAAATACAGTGGAATCAGGAGTTACCAGAGTAATCGTGAAAGAGCACTGTCAGGTTACTGTACTCCATGTACTCTCCCACAGGGAAGACTGTTTTAATAGCTGTGAACATGTTGGAAGCAGATCCTTTGCAACGTTTTGTGGCACCATCTTAAGTACAGCTCTCCTAGGAAAGCTGCACTTAATCCCACAGGGCAGAAATCCTAAGGCCTCGGACAAGTATTTATCTGATTTAACCAATATGCAATGGTTTGAACCAAGAGGTTCACAAAACATTCCTTTCAGATTAGGAATCTGTTTTAAAATGGGACCACGTAATTTACTGGAACGTGTTCTTCCTGAATAAGTCAGTCAACGAACCTAGTGCCCCTCAGCTCCTCCAGCGGCCTACTGTATTCTGCGACCACATGAACACCAGCATTACAGTCACAGAATCATAGAAACACAAGGTTGGAAAGGACCTACCAGATCATCTAGTCCAATGTCCTCCTATCACCAATACTACTCACTAAGCTACCTCGTAGCACCTCAGCCAGGCGTTTCTTGAACACCGTGAGGGATGGTGACTCCACCACCTCCCTGGGCCGGCGGTTCCAGTGCCTGACCACTCTTTGAGAGAAAAAGTTTTCCTGATATCTAAACTAAATCTCCCCAGGCACAACTTGTGGCCAGTTCCTCGAGTCCTGTTATTAGTTACCTGAAAGAGGCTGACGCCCTCCTCATCCCAACCTCCCTTCAGGAAGTTGTGGAGTGCAATGAGATTTCCCCGGAACCTCCTCTTCTCCAGACTACACACCTCCAGCTCCCCTCAGCCGCTCCTCACAGGACTTGTGTTCCAGGCCCCTCACCAGTTTTGTTGCCCTGCTCTGGACACGCTCCAGGGCCTCCATGTCCTTCTTGTAGTGAGGGGCCCAAAGCTGAACAGCACTCGAGGTGCGGCCTCACCAGAGGCCAGGGGGAGAACCACCTCCCTGCTCCTGCTGGCTGCAGTACTTCTAATACAGGCCAGGGTGCCATTGGCCTTATTGGCCACCCGAGCACACTGCTGGCTCGTTCAGCCGAGCATCGATCAACACTCCCAGGTCCCTTTCCTCTTCACAACCTTCTAGACACTCTGCCCCAAGTCTATGGGGCTGCATGGGGTTATTGTGGACAAAGTGTGGGACCTGGCACTTGGCCTTGTTAAACCTCATCCCACGCACCACAATGGCTGTCAAATAGCAGCAGTGTTCAAACAATGACCTCACTTTCTTATATGAAAATACTGGAGAAAGAATCAAGTTCTCTTGCTTTTAGTAACAGTTATCAGCAGTACTGGGATGGATGTAAATTGTGTTTTGGGAAGAACAGAAAAACATTCATTAAGAAGGAAAAATTATGAATATACACATTTCCCCCTCTAATTTTGACTGCATTTAATACTTCAGATCGTTACATTAGTTCAGACCACATTGCTGGGGAATTTGCAAAATGGACAAGTATAGGTCCCAGAAGAAAAAGAGGCTGATGACATAGCAGACTGGATAATACTATAGGGTATTTTAAACCGTTTTAAGAAAAAGGAAACTGCTTTATGTGCAGAACCTTAACATGAGTAAGTGGCTGCTGGCAGAGGCAGAATACCATAAGAGGAATGAGAATATAAGAAAGCATTATTTCACTTGCAAATCCTTTCAGTTGCTGCTAAACACAATGTAGAATCCCAGGCAAGATTAATGTCTTACATCAAGCACAAGACAATCCCTAAGATAACACCCTAAAGAACTCACAGAGTAGATTGACGTAGCTGAGCATCCAAATGCAAGTGTACAGTTTCAGATAAAATGCTGCAATGTCCATGCTGCAAAAACCCACAACAGTGAACAGAGTAATCATTGTTTTATCTTTTGTTTGGAGAATACAACCCCTACGGGAACTGTGGAATTCTAAGGTGCTTTCAAGAACCACTGGAAAACTGTGTTTATTTTAATAATAAACCTACAACATAGTTACCAAACTGCAGACAACCCATTACATCTGTCGTGGTTTAACCTGGCCGGCAGCTAAACACCACACAGCCATTCGCTCACCCTCACCCCTCCCTCTCTGGGATGGGGGAGAGAAACAGGAAAGTGAAGCCTATGAGTTGAGATAAAGACAGTTTATTAAGACAGAAAAATAATAATAACAATAATGATGATAATAGTACTACTACTAATAATGTGTACAAAGAAGTGATGCACAATGCAATTGCCCACCACCCTCTGACCGATACCCAGCCTAACCCCGAGCAGTCCGGCCCCCCCACCCAGGCTAGCCACCCCTATGTATTGTTTAGCATGACCCCAGATGGGATGGAATACCCCTTTGGCTAGTTTGGGTCAGCTGTCCTGGGTCTGTCCCCTCCCAGCTCTTGCTGCACCCCCAGCCTGCCCACTGGCAGGACAGAGTGAGAAGCTGAAATGTCCTTGGCTTGGTGTAAGCACTGCTCTACAACAATTAAAACATTGGGGTGTTATCAGCACTCTTCTCATCCTAAATCAAAACATAGCATTCTACCAGCTACTAGGAAGAAAATTAACTCTGTCCTAACTGAAACCAGGACAACATCAAACAGGAAATGTCTGAAGCAAGAAAATGAATTCCCCAAAGAGCTACTGGAAAACAGAAGAGCTAGCCATATACCCATGTGGGATATGGAAGTATTTGCAGTCTTTTTCACTGCCAGAAAGGGACTATCTAACAGAACAAATGAGGTGTTCCCTAGTGAAGGCAACCACAGTTAGTCACTAAAATATTTTCCTGACTATGAAAGAATAATGTGGTTTTAAAATGTCCAACTGATAATAGCAATAGCAGTTTGCTATTTGGAATATGCATGGGAACAGGGACAATAATTTGGTATAGATCTTTAATTTTGTACCACAGACGTTAAGAAAAACCATGAAGAGTACCAGAAGCTTTTTATTTTTTTTTTTAATAAATCTATACTGAAGAGCCTGAAAGCTTACCAAAAGATGTTCAAAGAAATCTTGACTAGACAGGACAGCATAGTTTGAGCAGAGAAAACTAACTGCTCCCTTCAGAGATAAGGGAGCCGCTAATATTGATTTATTCATTATATTCCTGTTGTACCTAGGTATTCTCTCCTAATCAGCATCCTTGCTATTTGCTTTCTGTTCCCTACCAGCGCTTTTGATATGAGCATCCCAGTATTTCAGTAATTTCACACCCACCTCTTTAAAGATTAAAGATTTTTAACAAACAAAATCTACTTCACCACGCTTCACTGTTTCCTGTATCATAATTTTGGTGGCATCCAGGAGTCTTCTCCCTGTATCTTCCCCTGTAAACTACATGTTCTTCACCCTTCATGCGCTTCTCACTGGCACCTCTCTCTCAATTTCTGCCAGTCCCCAGACATCTTTCTCTCTCATTGCAGAAAGCTTCTCCTAAAAAAGCTTTGGTGAGATTAAGAATGTCCAAGATTAAACTATTAAAATTCTTTTCTCTGTCAACATTCCTAACATATGCCTTTTTTCCCGCCAAATTAATCTCCTCATATTCAAGCCCCATGGTTAAAAGCATATGGAATGTGCCACTTTTTCCTTACACCACTTGCTATCCATTCCTGAAATATTGTTAACATAGTTTACAATTTCACTTGGTTCACATTTCACATTAAACACCTTATCTCGTATTTGTTTTAGAAGTCCTTATTGTTTTGTTTAATCTCTTTTTTATTTTGGCAGCTCTTCTATCAAAACACATTGCAAGAGCACAGTGAGATTTCACCAGGTTTTGACTGTATCTCTACAGTTCATCCACGTGGAGGAATTATTTTTTATAGCTTTGATGATCAGATACGTGTCTTTCAAACATATTTCACTTCATTAAGCAACATTCATTTCTTTCAACAAATTCTAATTATGCTTCCCTTAATCTTTATTTCTGAAGACTGCCTGTCTAAAAATACTGAATGTACACAGAAAAGATAACATGCAACTCTTCTGACTTTTTTTTTCCCCTCACGTGGAGACTTTGTAACATTCATTCCCATGTTGAATCCCATGGGGAATACTGATTTTCCATCCTATTTATCTTATCCTCCAGTGACAAGGGATGGTTAGGTTTGTTATTTAGAAATTATCAATTAAATCCCTAAGTTTCCTGGAACCGCGTCATCAAGTCTTAATTTAGCCCACTGCCTCCTCAGCTTTGCAGGAAGTACAAAGGAATAGCTACCATACTTTTCGGGCAAAATCCTGACACACTGAAGTCTGGAAGAACATGGGTTTTCTTTTGTGCTGCAGAACATTACTTCAGGTTTATACAAAGAAGGTCCGAAATGTTTACAGTCTCTGCAGCCATTTGTATGGGCAGCTATTATCACAATGGGTGACTTAAATTTAGATGCTGTAAAAAAATAAAGGTAAGGTTGCTCTTTCCACAATACTTCAATTGATTTGTAGTTTGTACCTGCTTGTTTTCTTGACCAAAACCATAGTCCACTCAATGTTATAGGCAATGCATCTACAGAAAAATAAGTTAAGCATCATCAGCAAAACTGCCAGCTAGGCAACTGATGTTTTGCTTTCCAAGGAAACCCTGGAAGACAAGGAGGTCCATACTTGGTACTTTTAGCACAGAGCTCCAGGCTGATAGTAAACTGCAATCAAACCCCCTCCAAAATCCAAATCTGATCAAGATGTAATCTCAGAAAGACTAAAAACAAACAAAACAAAACAAAAAACACAAACAAAAAAACAGCATGCCATGGTCCTGGCCTCAGGATGTATTCATTTAAAACAATGTGTATCATAGCAATTGTCTTTTGCAGAGGAATACTCACAAAATATTTATACATCCCCACTGCTGGGACCTGTAAACACACACAATACCACCTGATATTAGAAGGGGTCAGGGGAGGATTTGTGTGTTTTGTTCCCTTTGTCTATGGATTACCTTTGCCTCCCCAAGATAAACTTGTTACGAGTATGTGTTCTGGCAACTATTTTTCAGTTCCAACTGCCTAAAGCTAAGTACGTGCATTATGTACAGTTATTATTTATTACTTTTCTGGGAGATGTTACACATAAGTGCATGCTGGTTATGCAACTTTTTTAAAAAAAAAAAAAACTTTTTTTTTTTTTTTTTTTTAAACTTTAAAAAAAAAACAAGCAAAGGTTTTTCTAAGATTTTAAATCAGGTGCAGGCATTTCAGATTTCCATCAATATCTAGCTAATATACTTGATTATTAGAAATATGACATTTCCTTTACTCTTACTACTTTTGACTAAATATATTTATGTTATAAAATAATCGTCATTGCTGTGTATTCTGGAAGGTCCTTGAAATCAATATAAACAATACTTCAAAAGATTAATTACAATGTGTGTAGATTTTTAAAGTCCTATAACATCATAGCTATTAAAAAGAAGGTAGAGGAGAAAATCATATACTGTACTCGTAGCTTCATGTGTATGAATGTTCAGCATTAATATCACATATTGCTATCTGATAAATTCTACAGGTAAATTCTTGAAATATTCTAAGATGATGATGATGATACAAATACAGCATTTGCAAAAATGGTATAGAAGTTTCAACTGCAAATTTAGTAAGTCTGTAATAAAAATAATAATTAAAAAAAAATCCAAGAAAAAGAACTTTGAACCTACTTCATTTTTTACATTTTCCCTTGTAAACAATTCCCCATCCATCTGCTTCAGTGGATGATGGCATCAAGCAATAAATAGCATCACTGCCTTGTTGCTAGTCACTAAATCCCAAAGAGATCCCCAATGTTTCAGCTATTGCAATGTCTAATAAAAGGGTAACAGAATTTTGAAGACACATTTTAGCAAAAACTTATTGGAGTTCTCATATCATGCCTCCAGAAACTTTGAAGAAAGCCTGGTTTTAAAGCAGTTGCTATTTGTCATTTGTCTACCATTTCAACTAAAAATGCATTTTGGTGCAATATAAGGACTGTGAATTTGAAAATATTAAAATATTAAGCATGCCACAAAAATGATAAACATCTATTCACACATGAAATATCTTCCAGAAAATAATAAGAGTTTAGTGTCACTAAATGTACATTAAAAAACAAACAAACAAAAAAACAAACTGATGGTACTTATAGGAGAAAATACTTAAAAGAGGTTACTTTTAAATGGCTCCAACATCCTCATGCTCCTCCAAAAGCACTTCTAATATGATGGGAAAGGTCACTCACTGTACAGCAGACTTCTGCAGTATTAACGTTCTTAGATTTACACAGACATGAAGAGTTGAAATGTCTTTTACCATTTTAGATGAATCTGAAGGATGTAATCCTCGATATGAGCTCCCTGCCTTTCCCAGACAGAAAAGAAAAACTCACCAATTTATGTATACAGGACTCCAAGCAGTAGGATATGTCTCAAGGCAAAAGAGAATATGGAGACATTAGATTTATATGAAAACAAACAAACAAAAAAACAACAAACACACACCACTTTACTATCAGTATTTCATCCTGCACTTTCATTCCTACTCAATGTATATCTTAAAAGTCCTCAGTAGATCAAATGCATCTTATCTAAGGACTACAAAATCCCCATACAACACTTCAAATCCCTGAAACAATTCTGCAGATTGCAGGCAGCAGGTATGAAACATGAGCAAAACAAGTGTGAGAACTTATTACAATTCATCCACTAATGCCCCTTTTCATACTTGTTTCTTCCATGTTCCTTTCCTTTAAGTTAGAAGCAACACAAATTGTTTCACAGTTATATTACTCTTGAACTTGTGTTGTTACATAAAAAAAAAGCTTTCTGCCTCCTCCCAAATAAAGTACAGTTGTTTCCAGACTATATAGAAGCATGACACTGACGTCTTCATTACAAAGGTTTTGTATGTTATTTGGAGGTGTATTACAAGTGACAATCCTCAGGCATCTTAACAGGTACCAATCCCATTTCACATGGATCTCAATAATAAGGTAGAAGCAACTAGCCTTTGGTTCA